TTTGATGTGTCGACGCTCAGTATTCGTAAGGTACCAGTCCGATCATCAAATTCGTAGCCGTTGGTGACCCTTGGAGACTTGCAGGATGCTATCTGAGAATTATTTGCCAACCATTTGAAGGTAGAGTCATTACTGCGACATGGTGGAACCAATCCTGAATGGTCTATCATCTTGCACAGCAGCTCTGCATCTTCCCCCTCAGCTACTGTGGTGACATTCGGCATTTTCAGCACGAAACCTTGTGACACCAATATTAAAACTACTTTTTAAATGTCTGCATGATGGAAAAAGGTACGTTCTCACTTCACCTATGGAATTCCATATTTGCCGTCGTCCGTCGTGCGTCGCCCGTCGTGCGTAGTCCGTCGGGCGTCGCCTGTCGTGCGTCGCCCGTCGTGCGTCATGCGTACACCGTCGTGCGTCGTGCGTACACCGTCGTGCGTCGCCCGTGGTTTTTTGTCACGATTGCGCACTGTTCTTTTTAACTTTGACCCTTGATCATTTCACATGTACATGTCCTTGTTCGATCGATCCACCATGCCTGACTCTCATTCTAGCAATAGAACTAGAAGATGTACATGTATTCGTTTTTGCAGTTGCGCCAAACTCCAGTGGAAAGAAGAAATAATATCCTGATATCGGTTAAGTAACGTGTATATGAAATAATACAATTTTGTTTACATAAATAAATTAACAAAATAGACGTTTGTTAGGGTAGATTGTTTTTCTCGATGACTAAGTTACTCTAGACGTAACATTAAGTTAACAGCCTGACTTTAGGTCTATAGCCTATGTGATATTTCTGTCTGTCCCTGCACGATATCCCACAGAACGGAATGTAAATAATAGATTATTTACAATGTTTGATTCATTAATAGTTTTCATCAGAGACGAACTGATTCAACATTATTTTGAGGGCGGGTATACCTATGATGAAATCTGCTGTATACTCCAAATTAGACATGACTTTATTTGCAGGTTGGCTCACAGAAGTAGTCTTTTAAACAGTAACGTTACTTGTTAACCCCATAAATAATGCTGATGTGCTGGTTAACCTGTTCTCATTGGTCTATCCACCATGACATACACACCCACAAAAACCAACACGTCATATTTTCTGAAACTTAAACCAAGTGGTAATTGCCCCCTAACAGTACATTTAATAAACAGTTTGTTATCCACAGCACGTCTAGTATTTCAGTATTTCAAGGTGAAATTGAGAGGACAAGATAGAATATTTGTAT